GTTGTTGAAAGAAAACATAGGCACATTGTTGAAATTGCTCGCTCACTCTTGTTGCCTGCTTCTATTCCTAGTGTGTTTTACGGTGAAGTTGTTCTTACTGATATAGGTTTGATTAATACAATTTCATCTTCTCATATTGCAGATTTTTCTCCTTTCGAAATGTTGTACGGGTATACCCCGAAAATTGTAGAGGAAGAGACATGACAGGAATGTGTCTGACTCAGCGGAAGAAAATATTCTTTGATATTATATGAAAAAAAATGATTCAGTAATGTATATCTTCTATTGAAAAAAGTTTACATATTTATAAGCGTTTATAGTCAACTATATCTATTTACAATCAACGTAATGGCTACCAAATGATGAAACCAACAAAAATAAGGAAAGGCACCGGAGACACGTTCATGATGTAGAATAGATGGCTGAGTGGATTGAAGAACAGTTGGATCGAAAAGGGAAAAATAGTAAATTGCAGATTTGGTGTTCGAGCTTCAATTTGAGCCCATAATACCTTTTTAGAAGGAGAACAACGAGCCGGACTGAACTCACCGTTCTGCTATGACATATGATGGATTTTAGCCATTCGAGTTCGTTTAGGACTCGAAAACTGTTTTTAAAATTCTAGTGCTATTTTTGTCATTTAGTTTATTTCGAATTCTTTTCAAGTTTAGTTCTTTTAAACTAGGTCTTCATGTAAATCCTCATAAAAGAAAAAGCATTAATTCTTCATTTTATATCATCTTGCCATTAATAAAACTTCGTGATTTTATCTTTCATAATTTGGTAGATTCCAAAAATTGTGTTTTTGAGGTTTTCATTCAATTCCTTGTTTCGTGTTGCTACAGTTCAGCATTTAAGCAGAATTTATGGACCAGTTTAATGGAGCAATTGCAGTGATACGGGTAGAGAAATTGAAGTAGTATTGATGGAGCAATGCAGTTATACTGATTTCATCATAAAAAACAGAAGCACTTTTGTCAATTATGTGCCATGGAATTCCTCTCTTCAGTGTCGTCAGTTTTTACTTCTTCATCTTCAGCAGAAGCACCGTCATTGTTCTGGCCAGGATCACAAATTTCTCCCTCACTTCCACTTGGATTTCCTCCAAAGACAATTGCATCTCNNNTTTCCTCCAAAGACAATTGCATCTCCACCTTCACTAGAAGTAGCACCGCTGTCTGGGACAGATGCATGAATTTCTTCTGCATCATTCCGCGTTGAATGAAATTTTGATGACATAAAGCATAAGCACTTTTGGCTAGACTGAGCAGTTAGGGAAGTAAATTTTCGCCCAACTAATGTCTCTGAACAGAATAGAGCAAACAGAGTAACTGACCCTACAATAATGAAGAGCCCTCCGAAGTCAAAAAAAGTAAGACTAGAAGTCCGTTGCGAGATCGTTGAGGAAAGTGGATCTTGAGAAGAGTATCCAGGTCCGAAATTTGTTTGCTCAATAGATGTCATGTTTGGACCTTGAGTAACGGCTAAGATGGCCTTTGAGAAATGCGCAGTTAAGGGAGAGCCAATAGGAAATGCCTGAATAGTGATGCATAATAATTAAAATCA